ATGAGGACGTTTCGGCGGCCCATGATTACACGAGATATCATACAGAGACAAAAGAAAAGCCCTGTTATTTCGGAGCAATCCGAAAGGCATCCTGCGCTGCACCAATGGCGCATTCGCACTAACCCGTTGGAAAACCGTAACGGTTAGTGGGCATCACCCTTAATTCGATTACCCGGCTAGGACGGGCAGCTAACCTTTTAACGGGAATCCGGCATATGCGCAAGCATAAGCTTGGATAAGAGTCAAACGTCCAACGGAAAAAGATTGGTAGACCTCGGGGTCGGGGCACAAGTCCATCTTCCCCTACCGGAAGATGCCCCGGCGTTTGCGGTAGGAGGTGAATCGGTTCGCCTGGACGGGACTGGGTTCACCTCGGCCCCAGTGGTTGACAGGTCATTGCGGTGGATTAGAGGCCCCGCGACTTACGCCATTGGCGCCGTCGAGGCTGGCAGCTAGTGCTAACTGTGTGTCTTCGGGCCGATGGGTGTCACCAACGGTTTCGATAGACAAGGACTTGCGAGCCGTAACGGTGACCTAGATTGTGAATGGCGCTAGTCGCGTGTAGCCTAATGGCTGAGGTCGCATGTCGCGGCACGTTACGCGTGCTGTCGGCTCACACCAGTCTGGTGGTTGGCCACTCCTCTTCCGGAGGCATGTCGAGACGACCCTGCAAGCAGAATATCTCGACATGCCTCGAGAAATTGAACTCTGCTTCCTCCTCCGCGTCGAGTTCCGTGTCTACCCCTGTCCACACTGGGGTACCACAGATAGCCATAGAATAGACGACGTTCACATACAGCCGTCTCACCCTATTTTCCGGACCTTCGATATTGAGGAGGAGGCAGCTTAGCATTGCTACCATCCCCCTCCCCCAGTCTAGGGCAAAGCTTCGCGAAGTGGTCCGCGAAGGCGCCATCCAGGGTGATCCCCAGATATTTCAGGGCGGGGCTCACTTCTACACGTGTGGACGCTACCTCAATATGGGCCCTAAGCAGCGCCTCTCCAGAACAGTGCATAAACTTTGCCTCGGTCTTTTGAGGCGTCACCTTTAGGCCCAACTCCTGGATAGGGCGCACCGCACAGGCGACGGCCATGTTGGCAAGGGCTGTCGCCTCCTCCAAGTCGGCGCCATCGGCCAGCACCAAGGTATCGTCTGCGTAGTGGACCATGGCGCCAGTTGGGGGGAAGAGCTGTCCTAAGGACACGGTCGAGACGACCCTGCAAGCAGAATATCTCGACATGCCAGGCACGCGAGGTTCCACAGGAGAGGCCCAAACACGGATCTCTGCGGGACCCCACAGTACATACCCCGTTCGCGCTGGAGCTCAGATTTGTCGCTGAACTCCAGCGTCTGACCCCGGAAATAGTCCCGAACTATATGGACCAGGTAGGACGGGAATCGATGATATCTCATAGCCGCCTCTACCTAGTCCCAGGGGAGGGTGTTGAACGCGTTGATGTCTAAAGATACCACAAACACCACCCTCCCCTCCTCCAAATGTTCCTCTGCGCGGGACCGTACCTTGAGGATTACGTCTACTGTGGAGCGGCTCCCGCGGAAGACGAACTGATTATTTGACAGGTCGGGATCATTCCGGGAAAGGTGCTGGACAAGGCGGGCAGCGATGATTCTCTCGAACAGCTTGCCCATCTTGTCCAGCAAACATATCGGACGATACGCGGACGGGGCACCCGTGGGCCGACCATCCTTAGGTATGAGGACCAGCCCAGCCCTCTTCCACCGACTGGGGAACAGTCCGCCCTGAGACAGCCTGTGAACAGCTGCCCTAGGCGGGGGCACACCTCTGACATGGCCAAGGACCAGGCCCCACTAGGAACTCCATCCGGTCCGGAGGTTTTCGCTTTGCCCCCGAGCCGTCTGGCAGCGACCGCTAACTCCATCTTAGAGACCCCTAGATCCTCGCTGCAACCTGGTAGGGGACCCTCATACGGCAGGGAAGAAAGTGCAGGAAGTTGGGAAAAGGGTCCCCACAACGGCATCAAGGACCTGGGATTCCAGGTCCTCCGTTGCAGGGGGCACCCACGGCCTAAAATACCGCAGCACCATTCTATATGGGCGCCCCGACAGATCCCTGTTGAGATCCATTAGCAGTCGTTGCCACGCCTGAGCCTTGGCCTTGGATGTGGCCTTGCGCAGGTCTTTCCGCACGGCTCGGTAGGACCTGCGCGCCAATTCCCATTCTAATCCCCCCAGCCGCGCCGCGCGGGGCCGCTGACCACCGCCCACTTCAATAGGTCCCAGCCTCGGGGGTCAGTGCGCCGGAAAGTGGGAGTTGAAGTCCCCTAACAGCACCGGATGGGGCGCACACACATCCAAGGTGCGCACCACCTGCACCAAAAATCCCTCGAAGTGTGTCCTTGACCAACGATTGGAGCGGGAGAGTGTAACACGAAATTACACGGATGACGCCCCACTTTACCGTCACCACACATCTCTCCGCCCTGATTAATTTAGGACGTGGAGAATCGTCCCCCGGGCGCTAGTAGATCGCGGCGCCCGAGTACTCGCATCGAACCCGTCGAGCCGTCATTCTTCGGGAGGTAGTGGGACTCCGACTCGAGCGCCATTCCTCCGTTCCTCTCCGCGAGGGCGTGAAGCAGGAGATCCTGCGCCCCCGCGGAGTGGTTGACACTGGCCTGAAGGAATGTGGTCGCCATTCCTAAGCCGATCTATTAACTTCCTTCAGGCCATTCTTCGCTGTTGTTTGCGGTTGAGGCTCCCTCAACTCCCCTCAACCGCAACGGCTCTGTTATTATCGGAGGCCTCTTCAATATTGACCTCCGCCAGTTGAATAGCAGCGGAGGATTTCTCCTTTTGGAGCTTGCGCCCCGATGACTTCGGCTCCCTTCTGTCTTCTTGGGGGTTGGGGGGTTGCTTCTCTTTGCTGCCCCCTTCTCGGCCCAAGCCCGAGGATGCCTCCTGGGCGCTATCTTGTGCCCTCCTGGGGAGAGCGAAGTCTATGGGGGTTCAGGCATCCTCTGGGGCCTTTCTCTCTCCCTTCTTCTTCTTCTTCTTTTGTGAGGCCATAAGTATTAGTCCTGACACACGTAATGTGTCACGACATGCGACCTCAGCCCTTAGGCTATACGCTACCAAACATCTATTCTACCTTTCCAGCTTTGGCAACGACTGATAAGAAAGCGGGCAATGGAAAAATCCAGCAGCGCCTGCCGACGTACTTTGCAGGATGGGCAGTTCGGCCGTGACTCGTACGCGCCTCTTAACCCTCCAACCACGCGCGGGGTGTGCGGTAAACCGCTAGCCCCCACGCAGCCTGCGCATGTGCCACGTCCACGGAGACCACGGGGAGGTTTGCCCATTTGTGTCCCGATCCCAGACACACGCTCTGACACTATTGACTCTATTAATATTTTGGATAAATAATATGATTAGGTTTTCTAAATAAAGTGGAATACGACTGGATGCAAGGATACAAGATCCTGCTCGTCAGACATTGGATAAAGGGTGGGTCCCTGCCTAGTTTGAAAGCTAAATCCTACCTAGGGACCCAGCTAAGAACGCCTAAATGATCCGGGCGTATGATGATTTCGTGAAGCTTAAGAGACCACACCCCCATAACCGAGGTCTCCGACATCCCTTGGCCTAGTTATTTTAAAAATCTAATAGCATCCCTTTAGCGGAAGGGTCTCCTTGCAGAAGTCAAGGCCGAGAAAGCTTCTGGACACGACACCAAGAAGGGTGCTGCCGCCGGCCATTCGCAGGCCACAACTGTAACGAATTCCCGCAGAGCCTCAATCTGCGGTTCGAAAAGCCGGCATTGGAGGAGGTGATGCGTCGCAGTGTCCTCGCCGTAACCGCAAGCACACATCCCACCATCTGCGAGTCCCAAATACGCGAGGTGCCTCTAGAAGCCGCCATATTCGGTAATCTTTGAGTGACATAGTGTTCGGGTTTGAACCAGGACACACCAACCCTAGCCCCGACATCGCCGAATAACGCACGTGTGTTGTGACTTTTGACAGAGGAAGACCATCTCTACTGCCACATTTCCGTTGCCGAGACCCTCACGAGGCCTAACGCCTCCTTTGTGTTCACTGCATAGGGAACAATCTTATCTTCTAGCTTGGAATCCCTCTTTTTTCTAACGTCAAATCGCGCCCGGTATTCGGCAAAAAGGATGTCAACGTGAACCGCGCCCGCAGCCACTCAAATCAACTCAGTCGATGTCGTGCGATACGCGGCGGTCATCGAAATGAGCACTCGGCGCTGCAGGGACTTGAGAACTCTCAGGTCGCCCCTGGCACAAAGGTCGACAGCGTTAGCGTATGCCACCGTCGGTGCGAACACACTTCGGTATATGGCCGAGAGCGCCCGAAAACGCAGACCCCACTGACATCCCGCCTGCATGCCTGGTCTACTAAAAAACGACCCGACATGGTCCCTGAGATATTTGCAATGGTTGGATACACCCATTCGTCGGTCTATGTGGATGCCAAGATACATAACTGATTTCTTAAATTGAATCTTATTATTGCCTAATCGGTTGATCTGTAGCTTATACGCGGTCAGCCTATTGGCCCTGACCGCTTTTCGCTTCCTTTCGGGACGCGCTCCTCCCCGTCTGCCTATTGGGGCCTTTTTCATAAGATCGCTTTTGAGGACAATTGCCTCAGTCTTGCGCGACGAAAATTCTAGTTTAGCAAAGCTCACCATTTTCCTATTTCGTCGACTACTTCCTGTGCTTTTAATTCTCCTTTTTTTACGGGAATCACCGCTGAATAATACGAGATGAACATCCGCGTAGGCTAATAATTTAAACCCTACTCTAGCTTCCAATACCCTAAGGAGTCCGTCAAACATGACCTTCTAATAAGTTGGACCTAACACCGAGCCCTGCGGGCAACTTCTGATGGCCCTCTTCGTAACCGTTTTATCTTCAAAGGAGAAAGAGAGAGACATTTCTATCCGGGAAGTAGTCGACTAACACATTGAAGATGATAAGAGAGCAGTTCCTATCTTAAAATCCTGACAATATGAGAGGCCACCAGACGTTGTCAAACGCGCCCGAGATGTCGAAGAGCAGCGCAATGACGTATCTCTGCTCAGAGGCAGAGACCATCCGTCGCAGCTCCACGACAGCGTCGTCCGTCAACCTTCCGGGTGTGAAGCCGAACTGCTGATCGGAGATCTTCCCCGGCGAGAGTGACGTCTGGTTGAGTCGCTTTAGAAGAAGCTTCTCGAAAAGTTTCCCCATTACGGAGAGGAGACTGATCGGGCTGTAGGATTTGGGGTCCTCCACGTCCGTGTTCTCGCCATTCAGGAAGATTCTGAGCGAGCCCTCTTTTTAAATCGAGGGGAAAACGTCCCACTGAAGGCACCCGTTGAAAATCTGGCCGGGGATTGCCCTGTAGGCGCCCTTCAGTACCGAGACCTCGATGAGATCCAGCGCTGGCGCCTTGTTGTTTCCAGAGATCTGACAACTGCTGCGATTTCTGCACCCGTGAAGAGTGGTCATCGGCAATATAAGACATAGTGTACGCTGTCTCTGATTTCGCGCTGCTGCAGCGTGTCCTCGTTCTCCCCGTCATCCGGTACGTGCACGTCGAGCAGGCGGGCAGCCGTCTCCTCTGTAGTGACGGTCGAGGAATTTCCGCCACTGAGAGTGCTCAGCACTTTGTCAACCCAGACCTTATTAGCCTTAGGCTTATAAACAAATCCCCAGGTCTTTGATTTGCCTTGGTCCGTGACAAATTTCTGCCAGCACTCGAGTTTCGCTTTCCTCAACTCCCTGGTGTACTCCCGCAAAGAAGAGCGGTAGACACGTAGTTTAATGGAGCGGATCAGCTCAACACTTTTCTGTTGGTATGTCCGTATGTCCCTATAGTCGATTTTCTTTTTGATCGTCAAATTTTTCTTCAACAACAGGTTTGACTTTCTAAATTGCCTTTTTTTCGGAATTGCCTTCCCACAGACGTTCATAAGAGAGCCGGCAAGAGCATCCGCGAACTTCACCACGTCCTCCACAGACGTCAAGCCGAGGACTTCAAGTCTTGACCCGGACAGATCGACGAGGCTCTCAGCGAACTTCTCCCAGTCGGCCCGATTGGTGTTAAATCGAATTTTCTTAGTTCTCTGCTCCTCGCTTCCGACTTTTGGCACCCTCAGCCTGATGTCCAGGGAGTTATGTTCACTTGTTGTTCAGTCGCCCTTTCACTCGCCGACGAACTGGCTCGTAGATGGGGAGGACAGGGTCACGTCGATGTGCGACGATCCCCATGCCGTCCAATAGGTGGGCGGCTGTCCGACGACATTAAGGACTTTGTATCCGCGGGCTCGGATGAAGTCTTGGAACATCGCTCACCAATCGTCAAATTTACGGTGACACAGAGAGGAGATCGCATATTGGTGTTCATTTCCACTAACACCATCTGCTCCCTCAGTGAACGAAGTACCATTTTGAGGTGCTTGAGGTGCTTTTCTGTTTCGTCGCTGTAGTGAAAATAGCACGATGCGACGTAGAAGGAGAAGCCGGGTGCTCGCACTTCCGTACATGCGCAGTGCGTCGTGCTAAGTTGCAAGACAAACATTATCTGGAATTCAAGGTTGCAAGCGACTACCGCGGCCCAAGGACGTTGCGCGTACATAGCAACCACATTCTTTCCAGTTCCTAGTCCGACGAAGACGTAACCACTGCCCTGCCTCCGGAAGTGCAACTCCTGCAAGAGCAGGATGTCCAGCCACATTTGGACAACAAGTTAAGAAACCTCCCATGCCACCACAGCTAAACGCCTCTTGTTTAGCTGCAGCATCCTAATTACCGTGGATCTAAGCGACGTGGGCAGTGAAGTGCTCCTGGCCGGCACCAGAGGCAAGGAAGATTCGATTATCCTCCGGGGCCCCACTCCCATCAGCGGGGGTGGAAGCGCCCCCAAAATCAAGCTTAGTACCTCGACCACCACAGAAAGCTAAAGAATGGAAAACCGGGGAAGGAGATAGAAGAGTAGTACTGCTAAGTTGCGGTCAGGCGGGGGATGTCCAACCGCCGCCCTCTTATTCTAATTCTTCTTCTTATCGCCTCCGAGCGGCCTGATGACGCCGGAGGCGACGGGCGGAGCTTTGCTGCCATTCGCCGTTCCCGCTGAGGGCCGCTGCGCCGGCCGGGGGGGGGGGGGGGGTTCATCTCCCCGCNGGGGGGGGGGAGTGTTCATCTCCCCGACCTCATGTACCGTTGCGCTCAGTCCCCTAAGTGGGACGGGCAAGGCCGGAGTTGGGACCGGGAGGGGACATCTCCACCTCAATGGGCGCAGCCATAGGCGCATCAGTTGCACCTGCTCCACACGCGCCCCTTCCCTTGATATGGGCTAGGCCCATGCGGACCAGCAACTGCGGCAACACTTTCTCCAAGGCCGCATTTAACTCATTGACCCTAAAGGTCGATGGGCTCGTAAATATGTGGGCTGGCTCAATTTCCGCGCTCCTTTAATGGAAGGGGTGAACGCGGGGGGGATAACCTCTCCTATTCGCACCCTTGCGGATTCCGAGGGGAGAGAGGGCGGGCGGGTATTCATTTCTCCGTCCCCCTCGTATTCCTCCCCCTCGCTGTCCACCACCTGATTTCTTCGTGTGGCGGCCAGCCTCTTCGGACTAGTTGTGGGGGGTTAGAGGCTGCCAACTTCGGTAGGGGCACCTTCCTTTTTTCAGCCTCCTTCAATTGGAACCTAAGGGATTCATTTTCGGCTTTCAGGTGGGTAATATCCGCCCTGAATTTCCGGACCTCCTCCCTCAGGCCCTCCCACTCTGGCATTGTAACAGCCGCACCCGACGACTGCGCCCGGAGGTTCAGCGCCGTAGTAGCAGCCGAAATGCTAATTGTTGCATCCCAAAGGGCTTTCACAGTGGTGCCCTTTAAGTTGCGACACTGTGCCACCTTGCACAGGAGCGCCACCTACTCCATGACTGCCGCAGTGAGCCCGGTGGAGAAGGTCTCTTTAAAATTGAGGAGCTCCATCCTCCGTTCCGGCTTTGGCAAGCCTCGGGCTCCGTCGTAGGCCAACGGTGGAGTCAAGGGCCCTATCCTCCTCTTCATCTTTGCGGAGCTCCCGTTTCTAGAGCTCCTTTTCCCTTCTCGCGGAGGCGGTGAACTTCCCTCTATTCTGGGGATTGAGAGCTGGGCGGCCCTTACCTCTCTTCCCCCCCCCCCCGTTTCACCTCTCCCTCCGCGCCATCCTCCGACTCGGTATCCGTCANCTCCGCGCCATCGTCCGACTCGGTATCCGTCAAGCCTGCCGATTGCTCCGAGTCCGACCCGATAACCACCGGTTCGTCTCTTCAGCGCGGCCCTCATAACTCGCAGAGCGAGACGACCTCTTCTTCCGGCATCTTCCCTGCTCGCAGACCGGGCCGCAGTCTTCATGCGCTTGCAGTCCCTCAGCCTCCTAGTGATAGAGGCTGACCCAACAACCGGAGAGCGAGCCGCCCCCTTGGCTATTCCACTCTCCGCGCTTCTACTGCCTCTTGCCATAGAACACGTCGGCTCGTCGAGGTGTACCTCCTCCTCCTGCGTATCCTCGCGCCCCTCCTCCCTTTACTCAAAGTTTTGTTAATATGAGACGTCATATTGGCAGATATAATTGTCTAACGACGCTTCGGCCATCATGGCATCCCCATCGCAGTGGGGATTCTTTCACGCCGGAAGTAAGCCCCGGAATTCGGAAGCCGAAAAGCGGCTTGTCGAGTAGCCAATCATATCCGCACCAAGTGACTCTTCAAAAAGTTATCTTGGAGACGGCCCACAATAATGCTAAAGGTTTAACGTCACCCCTATCGCGCGAAACCCTCCCTCCCGGATCCGAACTGGGAAATAACCTTCGCTTTGGGCTAGATGTCGCCATCCGTTACCCTGGGTAGCACCGGAGGCAAGCTGGCCAGTCCGCCCCCCACTCTCCCGCCCAATACAGGCGCTTCAACTCTGGCATTGGCTCCAGACAGACACAGATAAGCGGTTCTTCCACATTTAACGTAGCGGTTTCACGGACCCACCGCCGCCGCAGACGGCAAGCCCCCATACGACGACGGACTTCTATATTACTCTCACTTCCAGAGGTCAGGGACTAACATAATTCGAGTCCCCGGCTACCCCCCCCCCCCCCCCCCCNAAATCAACCCGGGGGCACCTGGGAGTTACTACCCCCCTGGTATAGTTTACCAGGAATACCCACGCCAGGCCGACCGGAGCCATACATGCATCCATACACTCCTTGCCGGGCCAATGCCCGACAAAATGGAGGCGGTCTTAGTCGCTCCTCACCCCGGCCCTTGGTTCACCATGGAATCGAAATTCCACGGAGAGGAAGGGAACCCGGGTTCATTGGAACTTAAGTTCCGTCACCACGACAAAGTAGCGCCTCGACGACGAAGAAAGACGAAGAACTTTTTTTTTCTTTTGGTGAGGCAGGGGAAATGCATTACGCACACCCCCAGAAGGCCGAGCAGCTCCCCGGGGATAGTGTGAGTCTCTTCCTTTCCACCAAATAGTGCGGAAGTGGCCTACCCACTAAAACCCCTGCCGGTGCCATTCTCAGTGACCATAGGGAGAGCGCCCCGGAAACTGTTTTCACATTACTTCCGGGACGCTCTCGGCCGCTTATTTGTACATCTCGGCCGGGGGCCATACAGAATTGATCCCCAGCTTTCGTCTATTATGGCGGTAGGACGAGGCACTCACGTCCACCGCTTCTCCCTAGAAGGGATATTGTGGTGGTCCGGGTCCTCACCCAGGCCGCCTCCCCCCTAGCGGCCCGGACAGGGGGCAGAGAGGAACCAAAACAGGAATTGAGGCTCCCCCCTCCCCCTTTTTATCAGGGCAGTATACGCTGCAGAGGGGAGCTTCGCCGTGAAAGCCCGACAACCCTCCCCCCCCCGGTTTGCGGGCGTCCTGCTATTGTAACGGAGGAGGCGGAGGGCGATCCTCCATGAGGTGTAGCCGTCCTCATGGCGTAACAGCCTTCCTTTTCTATGGGCAACTGCCGCCTTTTCTTTCTGACGGTCGCCCGGCAGCTTTGTTGCCGCGGTCTGACGATTGGGGCTCCTGGTGGGGGAGGAATTAGTAAATCATCCCTCCTTCTCGCCTTACTCCTCAACCCCTGAATCCTCCTGCATTGTGCAGGGAGGTATCGGCGGCCGTATTGCGGCCGCCCATTGTCTATTTCGCCGGGGAGAACCTCTCCCCGGCGTAACCGCTCCGCCGCCTCCTTCTTTACGATTACGTCCTCATAGAAGGAGGTTACGGTGGATCAGCCCTTCTCTCCCCCTAGTATGGCTTTGACAATGACCAGGGGCGAGAGATCCGCTCCTACCATTGCGACAGGGGCACGACGCTGCGCGTCCCAGGCGGGACGCTCCGCCAAAGTATGCTGCACCCACCTGTGCGTCGCAGTGGTAACAGCGGGTGCATTCCTTCCCTATACGGTGCAGGTACTCACTGAAGCACCCATGCCTGGTAAGCACCTGCGTCGTCCGGAACGACAAACCTCCGTGGGCCCTATCTACCCATTGCTGGAGATAGGGCCGGATAGCATTGGCGACCCTACTTTCCGAATGCCCCNCTAGTGCCCCGACCAAGTTTGCTCCTTCCCCCCTCCCCCCTCCACCCAAGAGCTTCCCGCGCCGCCGATATAGCTCCACATATATCTGCGCGAAGAGCTCCACAGGGGGGAATCCTGCCAAGACAGTAGCTGCTGCATGCGACGCGGTCCGATATGCTCAGGCGAGACGGCGATCCACATCTGTGCTTGTCTTATAAGAGATTTAATGCGCGGATCAGCTGTCATCTCACTCGCCCACGAGAGGACTACGTTCGCATACAGCTTTCGGGTCTTCCTGTTGGGACCACCAATGGGCAGGAGGCTATCTAAGGCATTCGCCACCCTGCCCATTTTGGGGACTAGGAACTCAAAGTGTCTCCTAAACCCCCATGTACCATCCAAGGTGAGCCCCAAGTATTTTATCTAGGGGCCCATCTTTACGTTGGTTGTACCCATCCGGACGTGGAACTTAGGCAGCTTTCCCTTTAACCCATCATAGATAAACATAATTTCTGTCTTCTGTGGGGCCACCTTGAGATCCATCCGCTTTATGGAATGCACCACGTGGTCCACCGACAATTGCCTGTGAACAATACGTGAATTGCCGTGAACAATACGGACCAGGTAGGAGGGGACCTGATGAAAGTTCAGACCCTACTCCAGCCGATCCCAAGGGAGGGAGATAAACGCGTTGGTGATGTCGAGTGACACCACCAACGCAACCCTTCCTTCTATCACGACCGCCTCCGAGAGGGAGCGGAAGCGTAGGATCGCATCCACTGTGAACTTTCCTTCCCGTAAGCTATACTGACCCTCGCTTAAGTCGGGACCACTTCCGGCCAGATGTCGGACAATGCGGTTGACAATTCGCTCTAAAACCTTGCTCGCCTCGTCCAACAGGCATATTGGACGGTAGGCCACTGGACTGTCCTCCGGCTTCCCCTTTTTCCAAAGAGGATTAGATTGGTTCTCTTCCATGCAGTGGGGAACACCTTGGTCCTTAGATACTTCTCGTACAGCCGTTGCATGCGGCCGAGGAGGACGCGCATCGCTAAAGCCCATACACGGCCCGGAATGCCATCCGGGCCAGGTGCCTTACCTTTGGCGCCTAGCCTTTTGACGCCACGAGTGACCTCCACCCCCGAGATCCCTAGCTTGCGCGAACCGAACTCTTCGCGTCGCTTTTTCCCAAAACGCCGCAAGGCGCGCCGCCGCTCTGCCGTGCAACGAGCGAGATTCCGTAGCGACGTACCTCTTAGCTTCTTGGATGCAATTTGTGCCCCAAACTGCTGAGTAGGTCACCGTCGCCGTTTCCAGAACAATCTCATGTGTTCAGAAAGAGAACGTAGGCTATATCGGTGAATGACTTATTGCTGCGTCTGCTGGAGAAGAAACGCGCGGCGCAGGATACGGAGAGGGCACTGTCGGATGACGACATAGAGCTCACGGCCGATACTCTGAACGCGACTATTCTCCACGACGAATGCGTCTTAATCTCGCCGAAGTCACTGTTGCGAACGTGCGCTGTAATGCCAATGGCTCGACACGTGTCATGCTCGACTACCGCAGCGGCGTGCTCGCGAATGTGCTGCGCGCGGTTGATATTCATATCAGTGAGTCGGATCTGATCTCGCTAAATAGATGACACGTGATGTTGCTGCGCAGCATCAAGGCGCGATTGCTGCAACCGTCGTGATGCCACACCGAGCCGGCCTTTCGACCGCGGCAAATGCTGCACTGGGATAGATCTCACCTTTCGTCGGACCGATGGGATGTTTGCGAATATGGATTTGAGAGTCTCCGAGTAGTCGATTTCTGACGAATCGGAGAGCGAATCGGGCCCGTTGGAACGGATCGCTACCAATGAGACCATGTGCGTGGCGACGATTGTTCGAGCGGTCGACGCGATCGGCGAACACGGACTGCTCCGAGATTCGTCCTACGCGGTGCCCAGTCTGCGCGACGCGGCGACATTTTTGAACGATGTGACGACTGCCTTCGGTGCTGACGGCGACGATGCCGATGCCTCGCGTCTGTTCGTGAGCTTCGTACACGGGGCACTATACGTCGAGATCGAATGTCTGCTATTTGCGCTGACCAAAGCGGATGTGCTAATTGGTGGGCGCGTCTTTGAGACGCTGGATTGATTAGTGAGCGAGCGTGATTCCGCCGATTGAATACCCGCTCCCAAGTTAATATCCGCCTTGGGTAGTAATACGCGTCTGTGAACTTGGCTGCACGTAGCGCCGCGTTACACGCTGCAGCAGTGGCTGCTCGTTCACCGTCAGTTTTCTCCTCTTCCGCCGATAAATGAATTGACCAACGCGTTGTCACACACAGAGAAACACGATGGCTTGCTCACGACTAGAGCGCGGTATACCGTAAACATTGTGATGGCGCCGGTGAGCATTATTATAAAGTTTTTATTCCACGAGGTAATGAGCGAGACCAACAGCTCGATGGCTAGCAGACATATGATGTACGCTACGTTGCGTGTGTTCCAGAACACCGTCCTGCGGTCCAACCAGGTAACTGACATCTTGACCTGTCCCGGCGCCAGTGTGCGCCGCAGACTGTTGAATGTATATAGGTGAGGGTCGGCGGTGGCAGTATTGACGGTATCGTTCATGCTGCCATTTCGCGCTAAGAGAATCCGATGACAATCGACGCTCCCTACCTTAGAGACGACGGTCGGACGACGCTTCCTGCATCAAGCTAAGTCTCAACAACGGGTAGCGCGCTTTCAACGCGAGCTAGCAATTCTTGCACGTAACTGTAGTGTAAGGGTCGTCGTCATTATCGTATTTAGTCTGAAAACTGTTGGCCAATGGCAGAGGGAACAACTTCCATTCCATCTGAGCATCGAACAAGGGCAGTGCGGTCGAGTCCGGTTCAGCGATTCGCAGCGGTGCTAAGATAAAGCCCAGTATTCTGGCCGGAATGACGATAGCGCTGAAAATCACGATAGTCACAGCGCTTGCAAGGCGCGATATCGCACCATCGGCGGTAATGTCGAGCGCGTCAGACGTCGGCTGCTGCATACATGGTGCGAGACTGTCCCGCTGGGACAGTACGAGCTGTCGTTGCGGGCGCGGCTAGTATAGATACATTCTGTCGTGGCCAATAGTCATCGTCGATATTTCCTCCAACAGCATGCAATCTTCGAAGAGATAAGGTTCCTTGCGAATCAACGGACATCGGGCGATGCATGCATTTCAGAGCTACGCGGCACGACTCCACGCCGTACACGTCGTATGCGCGCATGGCTGTGGGAACTAATATTTTCGCTCCGTACGCTCTGGATAAAACGGCAGTCGCATTCGCATAGTGCGACGATTCCTCGCTCGGAACACCGGGCGCCGCTGTGAAATGAATGTGCGGATCGTACTCCGTAGCGGAAAGCTTTTATTCCACGTTAACCAAATCTTTAATCTTATTTGCATGAATCATTTAAACACAGAGGAGTGCGAAAACGTGTGCTGTCTTATAATCAGCTATCACGATCAATTACATCTACCTAGCGACGATCTTGGAAAAACTAACGTTACATCTCGCCGCATTTCCACTACTGACAACATTCCTATTCATGTCCGGCAATATCGTTTTCTTCTAATTCACAAAACAGAAATTACTTTACAAGTTTCCGATCTTTTACAAAAACAGATACTAGAAACTTCCGACTCTACTTATAATTCACCCGTTTGGATTGTCCCCAAAAAAACCGATTTATAGGGTAACAAACGTTGACGAATAGTGATTGATTTTCGCCGCCTTAACGAAAAAACTATTGGCAACGCGTATACATTACCCAACATTTGAGACATTCTTGATCAATTAGGCAGCGCAAAATATTTTTCAGTATTAGACTTAGCCAGCGGCTTTCATCAAATCCCAATGCATCCCGAAGATGCTCATAAAACCGCGTTTCATACTCCCCACGGTCATTTGCAATCTGATCGTATGCCTTTCGGATTTAAGAATTCACCCGCTACATTTCAACGTCTTATGGATCAAGTTCTTATCAGTCTCCAAGACATAAAATTATTTGTTTACATGGACGATATTGTAGTTTTTCCGAGCTCGTTAAAGGAGCACAACGAAAAGATTAAAACCTTAATGAATCGCCTTCGTATAGAAAATCTCCCACTCCAACCTGACAAGTGCGAATTCCTGCTGCGCGAAGTCGCATATTTAGGCCATGTTATTGTGGAAAATGGCATCCGGCCGAACTTCGACAAAATTAACGCTACTAACAATTTTCCTTCTCCCAAGTATCCTAAAAAAATCAAGAAATTTCTTGATTTAGCAGGTTATTACCGCCGTTCCATTATTGAATTCTCGCATGACGCGAACCCTCCATATAAATTGCTTATAAAGAACATTCTTTTTCTTTGGACGGTAAAACAACAACAATCATTCGATACCTTAAAGAAAGCACTTTGCAATAAGCCCATCCTCCAATTTCCTAATTTCTCGCTCCCTTTCATCCTTACAACCCATGCTTATAAATTCGCTATAGGCGGATATTTCAATCAAGGTCAAATTGGCCAAGAATTACTGATCGCATATGCCTCACGTTTACTTAATCTGGCCGAGCAAAACTATTCGAACATAGAAAAAGAACTTCTCGTTATCACTTACTGCGTTCATCATTTTCGACTATATTTGTACGGACGCGAATTCACCTAAGTTACAGACCACCAGCTTCTCACGTGGATGTATAGTGTAAAGGATCGCACGTCCCGGCTTATGCGTTGGCGCTTAAAACTCGAATATGATAAATCGCCACCGGACTCCTTTCTCAGTCAGGTGCTCCATTAACTTCCGTGACTCGCGATTCGATGCACGAAAGAGTGCTCGAAGTTTCGTATCCGCTCCAACGAAGTTGATGCCGCAATCAGAAAACACTTCTCTGCACAAGCCTCGCCTGAGGCGAACCTCCGGAATACAGCAAGGGAGACTTCCGTCGTGCAATCGGTGACAGCCTCTAAGTGAACTGCTCTTGTCGCCAAGCAAACGAACATGCAGATGTATCCCTTGTATGCTCGATGTCCTCTGGCCTTAGTTGTCCGTAGGAGAACAGGTCCCGCAAAATCGACTCCGGTCATGAATGGGCGCGAAGGCATGAATCGTGCCCCCGGTAGATCATCTATGTGGAGAAGCCGCCCGCCATCGCATACACGGCAGACAGTTATGTAGTAATTGTCTCACCAGTCGCCTGCCTCCCGGGATCCAAAATTGACGCCGAAGAGTTGCCAACGTCAGTTGCACTGCGCCATGCAGCGCTCCATGGTGGGTTGCAATCACCAAAAGTCTGGTGAGGTGAGATTTCGGTGGCAGTATCACAGGATGACGACTGTCCCAGTCCAACTCAACAAAACGTAATTGCCCCCACAGCGAAGTAAACAAGCCTCGTCCAGGTATAGCTTCAGGCCAACAAGTGAACTGCGATTACGGATGGCGTGTCCTTTGGATAAAGCACACACCTCATCGCCACATGACATTCGTTGTTCCAGTCTAATCCAGAGATTCCTTGCCGTAAGAATCTCTTCAGGAATTAATGGTCCCTTTACGTGTTCTGCATGTCCGTGCCTCCACCGCAAAATCCACGCTGTTGTCCGGAGTAATCGTCGAAGAGTAGAGAAACGAACCAGGAATTCGTTTGCTTCTAACTTGGTTACTCCATGCACCATCCGACGTTGCTCTGGTAGGTCACTCTCAATTGTTACATCCACGTCGTCATTGACCAACAGCTCAGGGTTCTTCAGAAAATCCGGGCCGCTCTACTAAAGTGGGTGTTGAGAGAGGTCCATGGGAGCCACTCCGCGGGACGCGCAGCCAGCTGAGTTGTTCTCACTCCTAACACGGCACCAGCGTGCCTCAGATAAGGTGCGATGAATCTTGGCAACTCTGTTTGCAACAAACGTTGTCCATCTTGCAGGGTATCCACGAATCCATGCAAGAGTGATAGTAGAGTCAAACCACAGATGAACTGGAACTGATAATAACTTCAACTGCTCCCTCAAATAAGCTGCCAGTCGCACAAGCAATACGGCCGCATACAGCTCTAAACGAGACAGCGATATGGGTTTGAGGGGGGCCACTCTGATTTTGGCCAGCACCAACGAAACCATTATTGAACCTCCGTCCAGTGGAGCACTCTTGATGTATATCACAGCAGCATAAGCTCTTTCGGATGCGTCAGCGAATCCACGGAGTTGCAAAGCAGATGTGTCAGACTCCATCACCCTCAACCATCGACCGACTGTGAGTTGCTCCAGTATAGGAAGGTTACGCTCAAAATCTCGCCACACTGTCGTTTCTCTTTGAAGAAGAGCGTCATCCTAGGAGAGCCTCTGTAGCCAGGTCTTCTGGATGAATATTTTGGCTCGGACGATGACGGGTGCCAACTAGCCCAAAGGGTCGAAGAGTCCAGCCATCCTGGACAGAACGGTACGTCTGGTTGTCTGTCCATCCAACGGCCTGCGAAATCTGTAAACAAAAGAATCGGTCTCCGGATGCCAACAAAGGCCCAGGATAGCCTGAGGAGTTAAATCCCCCTAGCTAGCTTTCCGATTCGCCCGATAATCTTCCGAAATGATGCTGAAAATCGCTTGGTGATTGCTGGACCACTTCCGCAAAGGAAACCCGCCCGCCAAGCAGAGCCGGGTTAATTGGTCTCGTAGCTCACCAACTTCCTCCAGCGAGTCGGATCCAGCAAGTACATCGTCTACATAAATATCATGACGAAGCGCTGCTGCTCCGAGAGGGAAGAGATGACCTTCATCCTCTGTCAACTGACGCAGCGTGCGCATGGCAAGAAATGGTGCACATGCCAATCCGTAGGTCACAGTGTTTAAGAGAAACTCTGCCGCCTTGTCCCTTTGTTCTTTTCTCCACAAAATCCTCTGAAGATCTCGATCCTCTTCTTGCACCAGAATTTGGCGATACATCTTTTGGATGTCAGTCACAATGACATAACGATAACGTCTCCAACAAAGTAGTACGTCTGCGAGGAGTGGCACCAGGTTTGGGCCCACCATCAAGTGTTGATTGAGTGTGTCTCCGAAAGGTAGACGAGATGATCCGTTAAATACTACTCGTATCTTAGAGTCCGTCACAGTAGACTTGAAGACTCCATGATGAGGCAGGTAGCATAATCGCTCATGAGGTTCCCAGGCAGGATCCACTAAAGACATGTGATCCATCTCCTGGTACTCCTGCATATGGTAAATGCAATATATTCAAAACTGCAACTTATCGTTTGAGTTGAATCGACGTTCCTGTGCTGTTAAAGTCTTAACGGCAACACGGCGAGAACTGGGAAGATCTGGTAATTTAGGTGATATTGGTAATTTCACAATGTACCTGCCATCTGTGGTTATTCTTACTGAGTGTGAGTACAATTCTTCACACTCCTGCTTCACAGGAGTCAACGGCTTTGTTTGATGTGGGAGTTCCTCCTGCTCCCAAAAAGCTCTAACCTGATCAAGCAGAGGGCCGTCTGCACAGCACATATGTATCGAAACATCACGCTTTCTTGATACAGATCCGAAGCTTTCGGTGAGAATCCACCCCAGTGGTGTTTGAGTTATTGGTGCTGCAGATCCTGCTCTACGCAATCCAGGACGGAGAATAGATGCGTAAGCATTTGCACCTAACAAAATCTCAATTATTTGATTTGATCTGTCTTCGGGGTCAGCCAAGACTAAACCCTGAAGGTGTGACCATTGTCCTCCAGCAATGCTCGGGTGTTGATTGTAGACTGTAACGGTAGATAACACAAGAGCATCCACGGTCAAGCTTGCATCACGAGTGCGTGAGGTAATAAGCAGACGCACTGATCCACGCGCTGCGCCGGAACGTGCTCCTGCAACACCGTATACTACTGCCGTATTGCGCTTGCGAGGCAACTTGAGGCGCTGGACAAGCGGTTCAGACGCCAACGACGTTTCCGAACCAGGGTTCACCAACGCGCGAGCAAAATGAATGTCGCCAAATTCATCAGCGACTAAGATTCTAGCCGTCGCCAAAAGTACTATACCCGAGGAAGCTACGTGCGACGTGAACAACTGCAACACTATCACTTACGTTTGGACCAGTGTCAGAAGTCTCGTGGATTGTTGAATGGTGTTCTGCGGCACAGGTTGAACAAACCTTAGTAAAAGCGCACGAAGCTAGGTTGTGTCGTCCCAAGCAGTTGAGACACAACCCGAGAGTTTCTACACATTTTCGACGCTCACGAGGTTGCTTCTTTCTGTATTAGTCGCAAAATAGGAGGAAATGATTTCTGGCACAAAGAGGACAGCGTCCTGATTTCTTGATTTGTTGCATATGATGTGACCGAGTAGCGCGCACTGCAATTTTGTTCCACTTTGTCGTGGGGACGTTCGAAGGAGATGGGCTCAATGCTGTGAGTGTCTGCAATCTACCCTTTAAGAATCTGTGCAGCGAATCGTATTCCGGAGGCTCCGACGTTCAACTCACGGTAGTCTCCCACTCGCGGCGCATACGTGGGTCAAGCAAGTTCACTATCAAATACACGAAAAGATCGGGCGAGCTGAAGATCGGTCGATTGATACCTTCTAGTGATCCAACAGCAGCGGTCATGCCGTGAAATATCCGACGAAGATCTTCAGCTGATTCATTCTTCATACGTGGCAAACTCAGAAATGCACTATAATAAGAATTCACTAGCAGCCGTCGATTCTCATAGTGTCTTGAGAGAGTGTCCCATGCTTGTTGAAAGTTTTCAGTGGTGGTCGAGAAACACCGAATAAGCGAGTCTGCATCCCCTTTAACGTTGGTTTTTAGATAATGAAGACGATCCACAGCAGAAAGCTTTCGTCTTTAATGATTATAGACGTAAAGAGATCACGGAATGGCGGCCAATCTTCAAAGCGTCCTGAGAAAGTCGGTAATTGAATTCATGGCAACATCGACTTCGGTGCGGCCGTCTCCACTGCAGAAGCCGTCGTACCGCTTGTATTGTCGGAGGGAGCCTGAATTGACTGCAGAAGGTCAACAGCACACACTTGTAAATAAATTTCTTCCGTGCTGCTGGCGACATCGGAAACGCAGTATTCGTGCTGTTTGACCCTCTCCCAATGTTCACTCTTCAGAGCTTCATCGTTAATTTTAAATTTGGCCCAGTATTGGTCGAGAAGCTTTACACGTGATTCAGCTCCTCGTGTAATCTTCGGTGCACCCAGCTTCTTTAAATTGTCGTTTGCATGGGATATCCTTCCGTGCAGCTCAGCCTGTGCACAAATGAGACTTTCCGCTTCTTGACTTATTTTCTTTCACGTTACACTCACAAACAATAGATCGCTAGTAGTAAGAGATTTATCTGATGCAATCCGATGTGTTTCGATTACATCCGATGTTATCCCACGATGTTATCCTGCGATCCGGCTCGAAGGACCAAAAAATGTGCGCACGTAAACAAGAATCTCTTGAGAGCGTAAAGTTGAATGAAAAAATAACACAACGGCGCATTAACAATAACACAATAATTCTTCAGTTTATTGCTTCTTTGAAAGGGCACAACACACGCGTGAGAGTTCCGCGACGCACTCTCTCTGAGAAATGTTAACAAGAACCGAAAGTGTGAACGCAAATACAATAACAATCGGTAAACTTTGTAAATACCGCATGCAGTTATTATAAGAAAATATTTTAATAGATAAATTGCGATTGACGACGAGCAATCGACAATGCGTAGAACAATCACGAATACGTCCTGTCATGAGCTATGAAGAAACGTACTGAACCGGGTCCAGCAGCTCTCGAATGTGTTTCGCTTTCTTTTTAGTCTTACGTTACTAAGTCACGAGAATATCAAATAAATATCACAATAAAAGGAAATAACGCGCGTGCCTAGCGACAGCCGACACGATGTTGTCGGTTGATCGCAGACAATCGCCTCTCGCGAGCGACAACATAGAACACGTGAATCGCACGTATTACGGGTGGTATCGCGGTATACCGTGTGGCTCGCAACAATTACAAAATTATTTACAAGAAAGGATCTTTAAATCGTAACGTAGACGCGCTTTCTCAAAACCCACAGCATAGGGAATTAACCGAAAATTTTCCGCAAAATAACGCTGCATGTTCTAAATCTCAAAATTCTCTTAAAATTGCAAAAATTTCCGTAATTGAAAAAAGACAATATTTGGTTGAATTGCCGCAAACGTCGGAAAATGATGACTTCAAATCTTCCGATTCGTGTTCTGATTCTGACACGCCGACAAAAATTAAGCCAAGCGATAAAGACGCTTCCGTTTCTGTCTCTACGCTTCTTACCATCCTTCCCATTAGAAAGAAGAGACGCATAAACAATTACGACGCGCGTGACGATAACACCTTTGTCTCTGAGTCTGACGAGTCGTGCACGCGACCGCGTAAAAAAAGCCTCCATTCGCGACCCGCTCGCGGCGCTCAACGAAATAGTTCATCAATCGCCTCGTCCCTCCGTAGTTGTCAACCTTCCGTATCAACCTCACCTCCCGAGATAGCTAACCCTTCTGAGTCTTCCGAATTACCTTCTAATGAATCCTCTCCCAAAATCCTTTCGAAATGAGCCGAATCTCCTAATTTTCTTAATGCACCTCCTAACGATACTCGCGGCAGCAACGATGACGGCCAGACACTCTCGCTATCGCCACATCCAGCCGACTCTATTCCTCTCTCTCCTTCCTCCGCATCTCCGGCGCTTAAACCGCGCTCCGCCGTTCCCTCTTTGTCTATCCATCCGTCAATAGACTCTCCCCTTCCTGCCGTTTCTTCCTCTCATTTAATTCCCGGCCCTTATCAGGCCATGTACGCGTCATGCAACTTTACCGAACGAGTTGACGCGAACTTCGAAATTGAACTCTCTTTCAGAGAATCGTTAGAGCAAGTAAAGATAATCAAACAGAACATGAAGATTCCGGATCCCTTTCTGAAATTGAAGAAGAATCCTCAACTTCACATCACTTCACATCAGTTAATATTCTCATCATTAAAGAAAGCAGAGACAATATACTCGCTCGCAGGGATAACATAGTTGTATTATTCACTGTCGACGCGAATCCGTGCGATGAAGACGTACAGCTGTTGATCGACGCTAACAGGATCCCTCCCCTCGACGAATTAACACTCAGTCAAGGCCAAGTGTTTTTCCTTTCGAAGATTCCTTGAAAATTTTAATTATCCTACTAATTAAAGAAAGACGATCCGTGTTATTAGACTTCAAAATTTT